AAATTTACTAAGCTTTTCCATTTGTACTTCTTGTTTCCTTTCTTGTTTCAGTTGCCAATGATGTAGTCTCTCTTCTTGTTTATTTTCTCATTCTTCTTGTTTCTTTTGTTTTTCTTCCAACAGCTGCTGTAATCTTTCTTCTTGTTTTTTCTCATTCTTCTTGTTTCTTGTCTTTTCCTCCAACAACTGTTGTAATTTCTCTTGTTTCTTTTCTTTTTCCTCCAACAACTGTTGTAATCTCTCTTCTTGTTTCTTTTGCTGTTCTTGTATTGCTGCCATCAAATCTGCTAAGCTGTAGTTTGATTTGCCACTTCTCGTTTCCATTTTTTTTCTTTTCTTTTCTATCCCACTCTCTGACAACAATTTGTGACGTCTCTGTGTTCGTTTGTTAATTTTTCGTAGAAATTCTTTCCGAGAAACTTCTGCGATACAAGTCCTTACATAAGTAAGCCTCATTTAAAAATTTTGCTTGAGGCTAAAGTATCTGTGCTGATGAAACTGTTATGTTGCTTGCGGGTACCCATTGGTGTGTGTTGACTTAAATAATTGACGGTAAAGAACAGGGAAGGAAAATGAAACACTAAAAATAAACTATAAATGAAAAGGTAAAGATGTGAAGAGTTAAAAGGTATGTACATATTTCTATTTCTTAATTTTAAACGTTTCATTGCACTGTACGTTGATGATAATAGCAAGAGTTAGTGATATAGTAGAGAAAATGAAAAATAAATTATAAACATTTACCTTAAAAACTTTTGATATTCATTTTGGAGGTTCTGAAGGTTATGCAAATGAAATTTGAAAACTGTAAGATAAAAAAAAGTATTTTTATACTTAACATAACAATCACTTTGCAGATGAACTATTTAGAGTCCAAGTGCAAATAATTACATTAAATAACAAATATCCTAAATTAAATATTTTTGAAACTACATACCTTTCGGAAAGTTCTTGTCAAGTTTCAAACAAGTTCATTCTCTAGTTTTATTTTGGAATGAAATATGACAAGAGCAACTTTATGACCTTAAATGTTAGGCCCTGGTAGTCATAGGGTTAAATGAAGAAGGATCATGAGACACCCCGACCCCATATGAAGGGACTAAGGGGAGAAGAAGAAGAAAAGACCAGCTAAATTTTGGCCCAGTTGGGTGAGAGACCAAAAGTTGGTTTTGTCAGGTAATTAACTGTGGATGTGTTCTGTTCTGTTAGTATGATCAGTGCTGTGTTGGATGAAATATTTTATATGCAATATTAAAGAGAACATAATGAGGTGTTTGTTTTGGGTAAGACCAAAGAATTGTAATAACCTGAGGGATATATATATATACATATGTGTGTTTGTTGGGTTTGAGGAGGCTTTGGAGATCCTGAGAGAATCCTAAAGATGTCTCACTAGAATCCAAGACATTGAAAGGGACTTAGATAGGCTCCTGGGAGTGATGTCCTAGGCCTGTGGATCTCGAATAACTTGAGGGGGCTTGAAAGTTTTGGAAGAATTCACAAGATATGTGAAGATTCATGGTGTCCTTTTCTGTTTCTTAGATATGGTCCCAGTTGAGAGATTGGTTTGTACAACACCAAAGATAGCTACTTGGAGTTATCTTCTGTAAAATCTAAAAATATCATTTTAAAGAATGTTATAGCAGTATATGTAGACAAAATTAATATTGTTGTTGAGTGTAAAAAGCAAAAAAAGTTTTTACATTATGTATGCACACTTGCGTAGTGAATGGTTTATATATTTATGTGGGTTTTCAGTATCATCATCCAGAGTCAAAGGTCAAATCAGAATACAGCATGGATTTGGAAACAGCAATGATTCGCCTAGAAGAAGAAAAAAGCAGGTGAGTTATGGACTAAAAATGGTTATTTCAAGTAAAATAAACATTTGGATGTGTGAAAGACACCTTGAAAGACTAAAGGTAGTTAATCATAATTGCAAGTAGGATTAGGTCTTGAAATCTCCGAGTCCATTAAATGATTTGGACATTTAAAAATGTTTTAAACAACTTTTATGTACTGCACTATTATAAACACTTTTGGTAAAATTGTGTTTTATTTCTAATTGATGATCTGCGGTATTGAATGAAAGGCTTCCTGGACAGTGACATAAATCTGAAAAGCTGTTTTTCACAACTCTTATTTGAAATTTGCAATAAGCTAATTAAGACAAATAAGAAAAAATACATGTATAGTGTAGTATTATTTTTATTTTGAATAGTAGTGATTTTACAATTGTGATAATTTTCTCATGCCCATATATCTGTGTAATTAACTTTCATTGTTTTATTACAATTAGTAATGTAGTCCTCTCCTACCTTTACTTCTAATGATGTTATTTCATACTAGTCCTTTTTTATAAGAATGGATCAGTACTTATAATTAGGGAATTTTTCTCAGGCTTTAAAACTAATTATTCTCCAGAAGTCATGCTATTACACTTCTGTTTCCTTTTCCCCAAACGTTTTTTAAAACATGCTTATGCTTTGATACAAATTTTGTTTCTTGTTTTTTCTCTGTAAATTTTGTGTCTTAATAGGAGAAGATTTTGTTGATTCATTTTGTGCTTTTGTGACTTGTACGTCTGTTCATTATGTCCAGTATTTTGTCTGTTACAAATTATAATGTTCACAATAAAAGTTCTTACCTTAATTCTATCTGCCCAGGCATCATTTACTGTGCATCACGTGGTTTTTGTGACTTACATTCAAAATTTTATTACATTACTTTTTATTTATGCAGTTTGTGTAGCATAAAACTGTAGCTAATAATAATCCATATTTTAATAGGATATAAGTTTTATGTATTTAACTTTATAAGGCAATATTTAAAAAAATCTTGAATTTCCCCTAGTGGGACACATTTTCCTTAGGCATCTCCTCTTGTCTATTTTATTTACCACCAATCAAATAAATATGAAATTAAACGTAAATTACTCATTATAAAATCATCATTGCTCAGACAAACCATAATTGTTATAGCCTTTAATTTTGTTTGGTTACAGAGCCATCAAACAGCAAATCAGACCCCTCTTTCCACACCTTCCTGTCACATCCTCTCTTTCAGGATTTGTTAATAGATCTCTCTTACTTTTAATTCTATCTATAATCAATAGAAAGCCATGGTTTTAATCTGTAAACTGACATATCATATTATGTTGTTTTCTGAATGGAGAATTGTCAATTTCTCTGTTAGTACAAGCTTTGTTCCCATGGGAATGGTAAACGACTAGCTTGGATGAAATTGTAATGTTGTTGTCGCATAGTTTGGTTACAGAGCCATCAAATATAAAAACAGACCCCTCTTTCCACACCTTCCTGTCACATCCTCTCTTTCAAGATTTGTTAACAGTTCTCTCTTACTTTTAGTTCTATCTATAACCAATAGAAAGCCACGGTTTTGATCTATAAACTGACATATCATATTATGTTGTTTTCTGAATGGAGAATTGTCAATTTCTCTGTTAGTACAAGCTTTGTTCCCATGGGAAAGGTAAACGACTAGCTTGGATGAAATTGTAATGTTGTTGTCGCATAGTTAGAAAGCCAGAAAAATTGTGATAGTTAGAGGAAATTGTCTGCTTTTTGCATGTTATTATTGTATGTTCTTGGGTGAATTATTTAATTAAATAAAAATTATTTCGTGCATTACTACTATTAGTATAAAAAAAATTAGGGCTAAATGTCATCGACAGTTGACAGCAAAAAAAAAAAATACTAGGTAAGTATTTTATTTCTTGTTTTTCATGTTTATAATTTATTTATTATTATAAAAGTTAGTAAAATGTAAAAATAGGGATCTCTTTAGGTTAGATTAGGTAAAATAAATAATAGTAATATAATAAAAATGTTTCATGAGCAGCTCATGGGTAATGTGATCTCCATATTCCCCAAGTGATTTACAACTTATAATGGTGTTAATAGTAGTTAGACACAGCTCAAAGGGCAAGAAAAAATAAATTTAATAATAAATAGATGTATACTGTTATCAGTTTAAAGCTACTTAGGATAAATGAATGTTGTTTCATGTTACAATAGAAAGTCATTCTAGAAAGAAAAAAAAGGGTAACTAAAATTTATTTTGGTGGTTACGAGATCGATCAAATCGAACAACCTTTTATAGAGTTAGGGGGGAGAAAATAACAAATAAGTTTTACTGAAAATGTATTTAAAAGGTTTTAGAGATTATATAAATAAAATTTGAGATTTTTGAGATGATGAAATGTATTTTTAATCTTAACACGAAAATCACGTTGCACATGGATTATTCAAAACAACTACTAGATATATTCACGAACAAATCTTTTTTTAGTTTATTAAAAATATTTCACTAAAAAATATGACTGTATTTGAAAGACTTGTAATGTTTACTGAAGGACTGCCAAATTTTGTGAAGATATACACACCATATTAAATGTTAGTAGTATCAAATCTGTAAAGACTTTAAATGAGTACAAAGAGGTCGTGTGGTTAGTCAAATTGACTGAGCCTGTTTTAAGAGAGTTAATGTATCTCATTTTTGTTCTACCTTAAGCTTCTGTCTTTGTTTTATTTGTAGTTAAACAATTTGAATTAATTGTGAGAATAATAGAGATGGGGATGTATTTGTTGGAATACTGTGGAATTCAAAAGTGTGATGAGATTCTTCCTATTGAATCATCTTTTTTTGGATCAAGAGATTTTCACTTTTTGAGCTTGGCGTGTTCCAGAGCTTGTGAATATGTTCACAGACCAGTTGTCCTGTTCTCTTGAAGTAGTGTTTATTTTATCCTAAAGTTTGTAACTGGCTATAGTTATCTATGTCAGCATATAATAAAATGAATTTTGATCATCACATTTGTCTTATATTTTAGTTCTCATAACTGCATGATGGTGAGAGACTGGAATGATTAATTTTTTTTTTATTAGCATGTGAATATTGTGGATGACTCCTGATAAAACCCTTTAACTAAGAACTGCAATACATAATTTCACATGATAAATATACCCTGAGCATCTGGCTGAAAATCCTGATTTACCCATTGGATCCGATAACATTTATGATAACATTTACAACATGAGTGCACATGTGCCATGTCATTGCAACTTCTGTAGTGTTAGCCAGACAGGGGTGAAAGTTCAATATAATAAAAATAATAAATATATATATAATGTATCATTTTTTGAGATTTGAGCTATTTAAACTAAACACTTGTGTTTTCATGTTATAATTTGTAGTCATTCTAGAATGAAATAAGCAGACTTTATGTTTATTTGCTAATTTTTTTCTGGTGGTTACAAGGACGACCAAATCAACTGAACCCATACAGAGATTTGATAGTGAAAATCACAGATATATAAAGTTTTTTCTTAAAAACATTTGATAATTATTTGGAGGTTATAAAGATTTTGCATGTGAAATTTGAAAATTATTTGATGCATAAAAGTATTTTTAATCTTAAAATGAAAATTACTTTGCTTGTTTGATTGTCAACATTTGAAAAGAATAAAGACATGATAAAAATATTACTTAAAAACTTAAAACTTAATAAAAAATCTGGTATTTTGCAAATGAAAGTCTTGTAATATTCACTTATGATCTGCAAAATTTTGTGAAGATATGCTTACTAACTTAAAAGTTATATCATACAAATTATAACAAACACAAAATGGTTACGATGTCTGTCTATGAGACCAAGCCCTTGCTGATAGAGTTAATGTATGACTGAATCATACTCCTGCAATGCTATCATACATTCTGGGTTTTTAAAGTTCATCAACCATTTTGATGATGCATGGTCAACTCAAACAGTGAAGTTTTCTACCATATAAGTAGTGTTGATAGTGTTTCTTCAAGACTAAGACTGCAAGCAGTTCTTTCATCATACAGTATCTGCATTAAAGAAACATGAGAGTGTGCTAGCATACATGTTCAAACATTCTACTTTTTCTCAACTTCAATAACATTACTCTAAATCCATTATCACTGGAATTAGTGTCCAACAAGAACTCACAGTCATGATGTGGATATGCCAACAATGGGGATTCTACAATGGCATGCTTCAGATACTGGAATGCTTGCTGACATTCCTCACTCATCTGAAGTGCATCTAAACTTTTATAAGAGTTGATAATGGCGTAGTGATCTTAGAGAAGTTGCCCATCAATAGTACAGTGCAAAATCTAAGAAACTGCAGACTTGGTCACAGGTTGAGGGTGACCTCACACCTCTTTTATTTTAGCAGGATCCATGAAGATTACATTTCTACACAAAATAGGACCAAGAAATTTCAATTCTGGGTGCACAATTGCACATTTTTCCCAATTTCATTTCAAGCCTGCATTTGAATCTGTTTCTAATATTGTGGTGTAAAACTCACAGAAGCTGGGATTTGGATATCAGGTTGAATGTATTGAACTGTTTGGCCCCTTCCAGTGCATACATACAATCATTTTTTTGGGTTTGGAAAGGTATAAATACAAATTATGACATTCACCCATGTAAAATCAATACAGAACTTAGGTATATTTTCCATTTTTCTGATAATTACTACTGGAGACAACCTAATACTCTATGAAGACTGTATGATCCTGCTCCTTAAAGTCTATTGTACTTAAGTGCTAATTACATCCCTAGTGCTCCAGGGAAGCTTGCACAGTGGTTGTTTAATTGGACTTCCTTTACATGTATCTTTGTGATGTGTGATTGCTGTTCAACCCTTTACACCATCTGGTCCCTAAAATCCATCAACAGCCAACAATTCACTGAGTTGCTCCTATTGCTTTTAGTTTATATTGTCTGCACAATCCTTAAATAACTCATTTACTTCCACTTTGCTTGCTGTGCCATTGACCATTCCAGTATA